GGCGCGATAACGGTCTTTTTCTGCATTAAGTGGTAGCTTTAAGTCTTTCCTGGTTATTCTTCGTAGCAAATGAGGCAAATTTTTGCATATTTGTATACCCATTGAGCCAGAAATAGGTCCCATGGCTGAACGAAATTTGGCATTCTTGGAACTAATCAAGAGCCCATAGAGCGAATCGATTTCGCTTGGTTAGGTCGAGAGGCTTCAGTTTTTGAAAAAGCTGTGTTTTGTAGGTCGTTCCATATGTGGATCCGAGGTGCTACGAACGGTGCCTAATCGACACTCACCACGATCTTCGTGTACACTCTAAGCTACGTCTGCTAAATTTCTTCACTGCATGCTCAATGTAGCCTATTAGATCGAATACTATCCAAGATGGGTGATGGTGTTGGGAATGGGACGCTCTGTAGGCAGATTATGTTGACCATATGCTGAGCGAAGCGCGGAAAATACCTTATTTACTGAACTTGAACGATTTGTAAAAGTTGTGAAAGAGTAAGTCTTCCCATGATGAAATGCCAAAAAAAAAAAAACTGAGCAAAAATAATATGACAGCCCGTTAGTTTCAGTTCAGTTTCAGTATTTTTTAATGACATTCCGTTTTGATTTAAGCCTCCTAAAGCTTTTCAGCAAAATAACTTGAGCATCTGATGTTAATTCTATAAAACAAGATCTAAATAACTCATCTTCTTTGAGTATCCAAAACAAGCACTTTTTTAATATTAAGTTATGTTCCCATCTTACTTTTGAAAAGTTTCTAAGTCAAATAATCCTCAGATTTTGGGATCACTTTGGACTGTTGTTTTTCATATGTTAACCACATAAGTAATATGGGTCCAAAATATAATTAAATTTTATCATAATTACGACATTATGGTAAGGACAAATTTTCAAATCTGTAATTATATTGTTCTAACTCCACTTAGCAGTCCCATTACTTTCTTTTAATGATCATTATAGGCTTATATCACTGAAGAATCTTAGCCATACTAAGTACTTTACAGTCTATAATGTTTATTTTTGGCATTATTTCTGGTTCTGTTGTTTGTCTAGAACTTCTTGAACAGTTTAGGTTCAATGTCTGACGAAAAATCCTAGGGTCTAGCTAACCTATCAGAGTCAAAACAGCTAAATTATACTATAAATTTACCCCAGTTACTGGTTAATTTACTGAGTTGAATGTAATCTACAAAACTCTTGACCAGATTTCGCCATGTCAAAAATGTTTTTGTTTTTTTTTTTTAATTAAATTTGTATTATTCTTATCTTTATATAGGCAAAATTGTACAATGCTACGCCAACCCGATTTTTTAACTCCTAATATTTTCTTTTTTATTTCTTCGTCCGTATAACTCCTCCAGCTCATCGTTCCACTGCGTTAATCTCCGTAGCCAATGTGCAAAGGTCCATAAATCATTTACAAAATTTGTCTCCCAAGGCCGACTCATTGGATGTCAATATTGTCCATGCCTCCACACCATATAGTAGGACAGGTATGATGAACGACTTGTTTCGTTCGCTGAGAGAGGACTTTTCAGCTGCCTTCTCAGTCTAAAGTAGTAGTGATTTTGCGTTCAATTTCAATGTTGGCATTATTATTGGTGTTAATAATGGTTCCAAGATTGACTAAATTATATAAGACCTCGAAGTTATGATTATCAACGGTGACGTAGGAGCAAATCCGTAAGTGTGCCGACTGTTTGTTTGAAGGCAGGAGATATTTCATTTCATTCCCTACCAGACCCATTAGCTTCGCTTTATCAAGTTGTACGCCCTTATGGAAGATTGTACCTTCTGTATTCAGTTCCACAGCAACAATGTGAAGTAGTCTCAGTAGTCAACCACTTTGCCAGAAACCGTGTTTGGCACCGAACGGCTCTGAGAAATTTTTCTCAGTTCTGACTGCGCTTCTGATGTTGTCCAGCGCCAGCTTGAATGTTAGCTGAACAAATGTAATTTGATTTCTGTATTTGGTACAGAAGAGTATAAAAAAGTAATAGTGTATATTAGTTTGTCAATTGAAAACAGACCGGCCGATTCGACAAATTTGTTTAGCCGTTTGTATTTTTTTGGACAAGGTTTCTAAGAAAATACGAATTTTTTCTGAAGTGAACTTGAGATCGATCTAATCAAAATAAAATCTACATGTGGTTTGTTTTACTTGATATTTGTTATTTGATTTTATATACGTATATGGACATAGTTTCAGCTCAAAATATATATGAGGAAGCTACTGTTCTGTTGAAAAAATAAATCTTATTTGGGATCTTCAAAAAGAAAGACCAAACCAAGAGGAAACTTTCGAAAATATCAAATTTTACTAAGAAAATAAAATAATTATTAGGAAGAGTAGATCAGATCCTTTTAACCCCTTACGGGCAATAATGGCCGAATTTAACTCGGAATAGACTAATGCGAAGACGTCTGAAAGAAAATAATTTGTATGGTCTTGTTAGCAAACAAAAACCTCTTAAGTAGAAAAAAAACATTAACGCACGTTCATCATTTGCACATATTCGTAGATCGAAAGACTTAAAACTTTGGAAATATATACGTTTTATGGACTACCTGATGTTGAAACGTACATCGCGAAAGAAATAAACAAATCAATCCCAGATATACAAAAAATCGTGAAGCACGGCAGAAAAAAATTAGAAGTTTGGCGATCTTTTTCGTGTCACGGGGTTGCACCATTGGTAAAGATAGAAAAGAAGTAGAAACTGAAGAATAATATGTAGTCATATTCCTTAGAAATTATGCCACCTAACTGGATCTTTATGCACGATAACGATCCGAAACGTACAGGAAAAGTGGTTAAAAATCATCTGCCCCAAGGAAAAATTTCAGTTCCTGATTGGACAGCTCAAAATCTCGACCTGAACACAAAAGAAAATTTGTGGAGTGATGTAAAAACTAAAGTTGGACAAAAAATTTAAAAAAATTGCGACGAACTTTGGGCAGTAGTGAAGAAAGTGTGATACTCTATACCTTTGCACAGGTGCCAAAAGTTAAAAGCGAACTTACCATACATTTGCGAAATAATCATAACGAATAAGGGTTATACCACAAAATATTAATCAGATAAAAAATAATACTAATGAATTTTACTCCATTCCTTACAAATATTTACTCTTTTACTCATTTTTACAGATCGATGAAAGTGCGCTAAATGATTGTCCAAAGTAAATTATTACCGAAGCAGCACCACTGAATGTCACTAAATATTTTTTAATAATAAATCATATGAATTAAGTAATTTCAGAGTCTAATGAATTAATAAATAAGCAGCAAAACGGCTTTACTCTTATTAAATATATCATAATATCATTGAGCATTTCTTCCCACGATGAGTTAGTGCGCTAAATCGTTGTCTATGGCTGTATGTGTTTGCTGTGTAAGTAAAGTATCAGTGAAAACATATCATATCATATTTATTTAATAAATCAATTTTTTGACGAAATAAGTTTTCGTTTATATATTCCTTAATAGGATTTTTTGCAATAGAAGCGTCCCTGTCCCACTTTGTGAGGGAAAAGTTTTCCAAAAATTAATTTAGGATTAAAGCTACCTGTGCACGAAATTTAATGTAATCCGAGAGATTTATAAATATACTGGACGTTTTCACATAGGCCGATTTTAGGTCTACTTCCTGGAATATTCTTACTATCAGGGGTTTAAGTTCTGGGTTGAAATGTAATCTTAAAAATTACTCGTTAAATTTACCTTTTTCTACTACGTTAAAAAACAATACCGAAAAAGGGCTGCGGTTAATTTTACGTGAGTCTATTTATCACACAAGTAATGATTTCACTATGGAGTCGCACCTTCAACTAATCATTTCGTTCACTTTATAATAAAAAATAATAAACATATATTTGTAGAGCATGTGCTTAAAGGGGTCTTGCAATTCGGTAAATATTTTTAAAAGTCAGCTTCTCGGACACATCTGTCTTACGTACGCTACGAACTTTCAAAAAATTTCGAAAGCGTTTTTCTCGAAACCATGTTTTCCGACCTAACTTCAAGCCCTTGGCTTGATCGATCCATCCGATTTATTTTATCTAAGAACCTAAGATCAGCATTAATAATTAATTTAATATACTTTTTTAACGAAATTGAAGTAAAAAAATGTAGCAAACAATTTAACTTTATAATGACAATGAGTATTATGCAATAAATTCATCTTTAAAATTGTTTCAAATGGGGTTCAGGACGTAGAAAATTTCATGACCTTCAAGTATTGTCAACGATTTTTGATTTCAGTCTACCACAAGACCTTCTTGGGCCATGTTTTTCGCGCAGAGGCCGATAGAAAGCGCCATTTGAACTTCGACTATTTTTGCCGTTTTAAAATCTCAAACAATAAGCAAAACCGGAAGTTTGTACATCTTTTCGGTCTCCCGCAAAAAAAATACAAACTCTACGTGATTTTTGCCCAATATCAGGAGGAACCCTCCCTTAAGGGGTTGCATATGTCTTTAAGGCCAAAAAAGCTTATTTTCTCGAATTTTATAAAAGATACTAAATTAGGTTTACAATTTATTTTACTTACATATAAAAGTAAATATGTTGGCAACATTTTATCAAAATTTTAATGAAAAATAGTATAAGTTAAGGCATTGGCGTTGACGTGAAGTAGACCGTCCACAAAAAAGTGCTTTCGCGTTAGTCATGATAACTTTTTCAATATCCATCTAAAATCAAAAAACAATTTTTTTCTTAAAACGAACAAAAATTAAAAAAATCTAAAATATTTTCCAAAAAATTAGGCCACATATTGGCTTCTAAAACGATTTAAAGTAACGCCACCGCTCAAGCCATGACAAAGACGGCGGGTTATAAAACTCTCTAATTTCAACAGTTTCGTCTGGATCGACTTGAAACTAGGGGAAAATATTCCTAACTTTTTGTACTTTTATACAAAAAATTATCAAAAAAATGAATTTTTTGAAGTTCTAAGATCTACATATATAACCCCTTAAGCGTGAAACAACAATTACCTCAATGCCTTCTTGTAACTCTTTTATAGCAAACGCACAGCTCTTGGAGTGCTTTCCATTACATTTGGGGTATTTACTGCCGCCAGCGTCAATTGCAATTCATTGTTGACATATTGTTTTGTTTCTTTGTATCGTCAGCTGAATTATCTGGAATTCCTTGAGTGTTTGCCTATTTTACCACTCAATTGATTTTAGAATTTATTTTTGCGCCTTTACTTATAGATCATCAGTCAAGCTCTTAAACCAACCAAATGAGTTGTGTTAGTGTATATATGTATGTGCAATACCGACTCATACTGTTATGTGGGTGAATGTTGACACTACTTATCAATTTATGTGTTTGTTAACCTTAACACACACTAACACATATACACATTTTATATGGATATTTGATTGCGTACGTCTGTCTGCTGTACTCTCCGCTATTTTTCGGGCAATTGACTTTTACTCTCATCATTACCTTTTTCGCATTTTCGATTCTATTTACGCCCAATAATCATCATCAATGTCAACTTCGTGCCCAACAACAATAACACGCACACAAATAATGTACGTGCATACACACATCCCGTTAAATGAAACGACGAAGCACAGAAAGAAAAAGTGCTTGAAAAATAAAAAAAAAATTGAAAATAAATAAAAAACACAAACACACAACATCGAAACTACTGACAGCACTGCCAATAAAATGACAATAAAAGAAATGGCAGTTGCAGCAACAAATGTCAAAACAAAAAAATCAACACCCACCCGGTTGTATATACATACATACATATGTATGTACATGGCAGAAAGGCGATACGACCACTTAACGTAGGTGACCGACTCTGCCACGCAATGTGGCAATGTCAATGTCATCCCAGATATCATTTGCCAGCAGGAATTTCGCGCGTTGGCAGTTGTGACATTTGATGCCACTAAACACACACACACACACACACACATACAATCACTATCCACTGCCAGCATTCAGAAGAGGCGTGTGTCATTGCTTTCAGTATATCAGCCGCTTGGTTCAGTGACTGTCACAATCTCACCCATCTCCCGCAGCCCAATTGACTTTTCACATCTACTCTCCTACACTATGCGATGCCACAGCTCGTATTGACATTTATATCGATTGCTGGCAATTTACTGAATTACTGCAGCGCATGATGAGTGCTGCTTGCTGCTCACTGCTCACTGCTCACTCTGCTGTTGACTACGGTCTTATTATTCTATGGAATACGCTTCCAATTCAGAGGATTTTTTCAACTGTGCATTCCAATTCTTGTTGGGGTTATGCTGAGGTACTCCTTGTTGTAATAAATTCTACAATTTTCCTTTGTATTTAAGTATTTTATTTATATATTTTCTCAGTTGTTGTTGTTATTGCGCAAATCACATTGGCGTTGTGCTGATGCAAGCATTTTTAGCAACTCTTCATCTCTGTTTGTCATTCAATGGGTAAGTGAATACTACTAGACCAATTAGTCTTCTTTATAATAGAGTGTGCGTGTACGTATGTATGTGAAATCTATGATGAAGCAACTGAAGTAAGAAAAAAATTGGAAATATCTGCGGGTAGTGGATTTTTATAAAATGAAGTGCTGGCTTATATTAATGAAGAGCTTGAGAAGCTGACTGTCAAGGGTAATGCTCGAAAATTGCTACGAAGAGACACGGGGAGTTAGCGGAGATACAGAGAGGTGATCTAGTGACTGACGCCTAGAGTATACTGAATATAAGAAGACCACACTTCTCCAGTCTGCTGAAGGGCAGTGCAAATCAGCACCCGAGATGGTGAACCCGAAATCTCAATCGATTACCATGAATAAAACGTTCCATTACCCTACTACATATATCAAGGCTCGTATAGCGATTGCCCGCCTAAAGAACAACAAAGAGGCTTACCGACCGAGCTATTCAAACATGGCGAAGAAGTGCGGACGAGATGCATGCATCAACTTCTTTGCGTAATATAGCTGAATTAAAGCATGACCGGCGATTGAAACTTGTGTGTGCTTTGTTTAATCCATAAGAAGGGCTATCCTATAGTCTGTGCCAATTACCGTGGGATAGACCTCCTTAACATATAAGTTCATATCGCACGTTTTGTGTGAAAGACAAAAGCCGAATTGGCCCTGATTGGATCTTATCAGTACCGCTTTAGACCCGACAAATCAAGCATTGACCAGGTGTTCGCCATGTGCCAAGTCTTGGAAAATTAACCTCAAAAGGTAATAGTCAATTTGAAATGATCCTTCGAAATCAACATCAAAAGCTTCATTAGGATAGAGAAGCACCTCTCCAAGCAGAGCTGAATAAAGAAGTTATAATCTTCTATAATATTGACATTATTGCCCACAACAACTGTGCTTTGAGTTCTGATTTTCCAAACTAGATAAGGAATCGAAGAATATGCTCATCATAGTGACACTATTTGCTTTATATCGAGGGATGATCTTTTATTTACGGATGCTTTTTTCAACTTCCAATTTTCAGTTGTTAGTGAATGTGATGTTGCAATGTTTTTGTTAATAATGGCATCCAATGCAATATGGTATGCTAGTTTAACAATTACACTCATTATATACTACCTTGCATTCTTGGGACACTAATGTACATTATTAATCATTGTATTACCACTTAATATTGCGGTACTAAAGATCAGTGACGACATTCAGTCCAACCTGGATCAAAATCAACTCACCCTGCTTTACTTACTTGACTTTTCAAAACCGTTTGGCATGGTCAACCATGAGTTATTATGCTGTGAGTTGAAATCGTACTATGGTTTTAGTTCTAGTGCTTTAAAGCTTATGAAAATCTACCTAGTGGTCAGCTAGTAAAAATTGAGGAGGACAAATCGCAACTCAAGTGAACTATTTCAGTGGTGCCTCAAGCATCCATTCTTGGTCCGCTGCTTTTCAGCATATTTATTCATGACATATTTAGTGTGTGAAGGTTGTGAAACCTGCATGGTTATGCCGATGACATTCAGTTGTATTTATCTGCACCTTTTGAACAGCAGCTAAAGACTGTGTAAAAGCGTGAACTGAACTGCGTGATATCTCGAGCTGTGTGCTGTGTGTTACCAATCAGTGCTAGAAAACTGACGATTCTGAATTTTTTGCCCCCAATGTCAAAAATGCACTAGGTTTTGCTGTGTGCTCAGATGGGAGGTCCTAATGCACCCACCTTTTAGTCCGAACCTGGCACCAAGTTAACGAAAAAAACGGTGCATATTTGAATTAAATAGGACAAATGTACGAACTTTTTACTTGACTTTATATTATGTAACCATTTTATAAATCATTATGGAACTCTCTTCCTGCTAATTTTAAGAGCAAATTTAACAAAAACAATTTCAAGAATTCCATATATGTACATATATGCAGTTTAAAAGGACAAATTTCACTTAGGCTGACGATTGGTTGTTTTATTAATTGCTTCAATTTCTGTCATATTTTGTCCATTATATATTTTTATTAAATTTTTTATTGCATTTGTAAAGTAATAATTACTTATTCTTCACACTATTTCTATTAGACTAATGCTTTCTTATTATCACAAATAATCATTAAATAAATAGTCATCGCATTGGCGAACTGGCTCCCACGTCACTGTTGACAATCATAACTTTGAAGTCATTGATAATTTCATCTATCTGAGAAAGAGAATCCAACAACAACGTCAGCCTTGATATCCAACGTAGAATTACTCTGGTACTGCCTTCGGCTCTCCTGTAGCACAGAAAGAGCATGGCCCCCACTACGTTGAAAAGACCGGGTAGAGAAGGACCTGGCTGTACTTTGATATTTCCATTTGGCGCCAACCAGCGAATATGAGGGAAAAATATCAAAACTCCGCGTAAGATTGAAGGTGACAAGAAAATGCTCTATGAATAGACATAACGAATTAAAATAGAATTGCGTTCAGCTACTACATTCATAAGAGCGGTTAATAAAAACACATTTTGGGTAAAGTAACATTTACAGCGGAAATGAGAGCATCAACTAAACGAAAAAATAGGGTTCTACTCATTAGGGGTCACTTGTATCAATCATATTTTTTACAATATATTTTTTTATATTAAAATTAACTTATAATATTAATACTGGTAAAGCGTTACATACTCGCATTTCAACTCTAGGTTTTTCAATAAAATGTATATTTAAATAACACCAAAAAAAACGAATTGTAAAAATCCGCAAATAATTCCTGAAAAGCCAACGGTCTTACGTATATTTGTAAGGTTTTGATTTGGAATCAACAAAAAACAAAACAAAAAACTACGAAAAACCTCGACAGCAAATATGTTGGCAGAGGATTATGCATGCATGGGACTGCAATACGTTCAAAAAAAGAACAAAACACGGCACTTAAGCACTTTCGAGCATCTACGAGGTGTGTTCAGAAAATATCCGTTTTTCTCAAATTTCGTGGCTTACGTTTGTTCGATTTTCGATTTTTTGCCGTTATTTTGGTACATGTGTTGGCAATATCATCCATTTTGAATTGTCAGTTTGTTTTTGACAGATAAAAATGTTAGTCGTGTCTTGGTGTGCTCTTCGCTTTTTTACTATTCGAAGGAATGTATCAAAGAAACTGTACTAAGTTTTGTGTAAAAAATTAAATTAAATGCGCAAGGGCATTCGAAATGTTGATTGTGGCGTTTCGCGACTCTACTATGGGCAGGATACAACTTCAATTGAGGTTTAGCCGATTTAAGGAAGGCCGAGAAGATGTCAATGACAATGCCCGTCCTGGACGCACGAGCACCTCAATTTCGGTAAAATGTGGAGGTTTTTCCCACTGTTTTTTTCGACTGGAATAGCGTGGTGCATCATGAATTCATGTCACAAGGTCGTACGGTCAAAAACCGTTATCATGCCTCAACCAACGTATTAAGCGGAATTGGTCTCCACAGACTTTTTCCTCGATGAAGGAAAGCGTTTTGCTACGATTGAGAAGATAAGAGAAAAATCAAAACAGGAGCTATTGACGATACCAAAAAACATATTTTTAGAAGTGTTTCAAGGATTGGAAAAAACGCTGTTATACTTTCTGATCACACCTCGTATGTATATATCAGAGATGGGCATCGGTGCCGTTTTTCGGCCCTACTAGTGAGTCATTCAAATTTATTTCAAATGAAATACATACTCGAACCCAGAAAACCGTTAATTGCAGCAAAAAATAAAAAGAAATAAATTTGCTGAACTACCAAAAGCATGCAATATATATATATTTTCTTCTTATTATGGTAGTAGACGCGCGCCACTCGGTTTTCCTTTCCACTGTTTGATGCCAGTTGGAAATTCCAAGAGAAACCAGGTGGCAATCCAGGTGTTAAATCACAAGATCTTGGTGACCAATTGCTATCACCTCTTCGATAAGTGGTTTCTTTGCTTGTGTAGCTCGTAGCCCCATCTTGTTAGTAGTTAAGATTCATAAATCCAATTTCGGCCTATTCAATAGTGTAATCGATCAACCTTTACTATTGCTCCAGCTTCATTTTCGAAAAAGTAAGGTTCTATGACACCGCCGCACCACAAACCGTAACAAACAATTACACATTGAGGATGAATACGTTTCTCAACAACAAAATTTGGGATTTTCCGAACCTTAGATGT